GTAATGATTAGAGGCTTTGTAAAAAAAAGTTCGAAAATCGTAGCAATTTTTTTTACTTAATGTGAACTTAAGAATTTTTCTTGCTTTTCTTTACTGAAACAGAATTAGTACAAAATAAATTTACAAACCTGACTAATACTTTTAAATACTTTCTTTTGTATGTAATATATCTCTAAGTCATGAATTAAGGTAGGATTCTTCTCTAGTTTCTGACTAGATGAAATATTCAAAGTGTATTTGTTTATACGTCTTATATATATAGGTGTAAGAGATTTAAAAGACCATATTTTTATCTCCTCGTCTCAATTGTGCAACTTTAAAATAGAAATGGTAAACTGCGTTTGAAAACTAACAGGGACTATATTTTTGGCGGAATGGTGGCGTATGAAAATATCTTCTTTTCTGCTTCTCAAAATTATTATAGAACATTGAAATAAGTTATAATTTTTACGCAATCAAAAACTAGACAAAATTTTCAAATGTAAGTTAAATTAATTATAGAAAAGACTAAAGTTTCAAAATATATCAAATAAATAAGATTTTTCACACATACTAGAACTATGTTGGCTTTTAAATGCTTCATATCTAAGTGCAGATTTGAGCCAAAAATCTGTAAAAAGTGTTATTTCTCTCTAAGTAAACGATCAAAACTTTTAGTTTTTGTATCATTTTATACCTTTATGTGACAACTTTACTATATATAAAAATGAGAAAAAGTTAAATAAAGGAAGCACATAAAAATAGCTAACATATCCTAAAAATTTAAGGAAAGTAATGGAAATTTGTATTAGCAAACATCCAATTTATTTGAATTATCTATGTCAATTTGGTAATATCATCTTATATGCCCTATATGGTTGTATCTTTTTATGCAGAAAGAAAAACATTTAATCTTTTGAATTAAAAGTAGGGATCGAATGATTGGAAACAGTATTTTTTTTTATTCTTAATGTCCAGGTAAAAGGTAATGACCTTGATCTGACCTTGCCTCTAATATTAAACGGTCAAATTTAATCTCACTGATATCATCACTTATATTCATATTGACACTTGATATTGTCCTCTTGATTCTGTGAAAATTTCTTCAATTTTTAAATACAACAAATATGAGAAGAATCCTATGTTTTTTATGTATTCAACTTAAAGGCAATCAAATCTTGATTCCACCATTCAGTTAACTCAACTAAACAAGATACTGCATACATTTGTATATATTACATAAACTGTAAATCTTTATTCTACAAATTAATGTTGTGAACAACTTAGATCGTACAAACAAAGGTATTACATTGTACATTCTACACAAGTGTCTTCCAACACCATTTGTTATGCTTTTTTGAGGAAAACTATTTTATTGGCACACTGACATATAATTCATGTGACGCATGCATCAGATTGATGGACATTCTTGACTAAGCTTTTTTTTTTTTTTAAAAACTTTTTTTCATTTTTCCTTGTCAACAGAGTCAGATAGAAATACTATATTGTAGCAGAGATACATAGATATACATGTATATCCACAAAGGGGTTTAACAAAGATATGAAGGATACGGAAATAACTAGCAGTATTCAAAATCAAAGTCAGTAAAACAATACAAAGTAGGATCAGAGCAAAAACGGAACTCTGAAACATCAGAGGTGGGATCAGGGGTCATGGAGGAATGAGCATCCCCTGCGGCCCGGTCACATCCACCGTTTGCTCCATGGCACCTGATCCCACCTCTGATGTTTGGAGGTCTGTGTTTGCTCTGCTTCTGTTTTGTATTGTTTTATTGACTTTTAATCTTGAATACTGTTGTTCCGAAAACTGCCGATGTCAAACACCTCGGCATTTTGACCGGAAGTGGCCTATTACACATCTAATTCCTTACTATCCTTCTTCGATTCCTTAATTAATTTTGGCATCTTTTTAAAAAAAAATCAAAGCTTTGGTTAAATTTTAACAGTTTCCCGAGCATTCGAAATGGGAAAGTGGTAAACACAAAACACGAAAAATGGCGACGTTTGTTGACGTAACGGCGTACCGGAGAGCAGTTCAGTTTGAGAAGGATTTTGTAATGACACCTTAAGAGACTTTAATTGAATACAGAAGGAAAGAAATATGAAAAATATCACCAGATCTTTAGTGTAAAAATGAAATGAAAGTTTTCTTAGCGAAGTCTTTTTGATCGAGTCCCCAGATAGTATAAAACTTACGGGCAAACTGTTATTGTAATAGCGAAAGACACTGTCACTATCGACCGTCGATATAAGATTCTCTATTAGTTGAATGATGGTGAGAATAATATCCATGACTTTCTATTAAATCTTCTGAAGATCGCATGTTTGTGATAGATTGGTTCCTCAAATGTTTATTGAGACTCAAGTACCGTATAAGTAGAATTTTTAGCGAGGATTTAATTTTGGCATTATTAGCGTGGGTGCCAAGATCGCTAATATTGAATATCGCTAAATATTAATTGCGTTTTATTAGTAATTGTTCCTTGAATGTGCATTTTAAAATAGCTAAAATAACATTTCGCTAAAATTAAATTACCAGTTTTTAAGGACAAATCGCTAAATATGCGTCTCTCTAAAATTTCAACTTATACGGTATGTGAATCAATGGAATGTCTAATTTAAGTGGGAATTCTCCAACTTTAGTTTTACGCAGTACAGTTAAGGTGCGCAATGGAAATATTAACTAATTTTGTATTTAAAAATGTATTCGTAATCGGGATGGCGATTAATTTTAGTACATTATTTATATCGGATAATTGTAATTATGATTAATAACTACATATCCAGGACGATTATATTTTATATTAAGACTAGTCACGTGATTCGGCAGTCACGCGATTTTAGCACATTGACTTAAAGTATTGATGTTATATATAAACATTACTAGTGCAAGGGCATAACCAAGTTAAATTTCCAAGTTTAGTAAATAAATATTTTCAACACGTATTGTAGTTTCTAAAAAGTGCTGCGATCCTGTCTAAATTCTGCATTTTCATTGTTAAAATTAAACTTGTATAACCAAAGGCTGTATTTTTTGCTGGTCAGCGGCATGAAAAAATGATATTATTAAATTGTTTTTAAGATTTCATCAGGATCGCAGCACTTTTCAAATACCTTAATAGTTCTATAGTTGGAATGTAAAAGCTTACTTTGATCCATAGAGTGTATACCCTTGCACTAGATCGATTTATCAAGACCCCCACATTACCCTCCGATGTACTTGCATACAAATATACGGCAGTATCAATTAAATACGCAATGTACAGAAAATATATTAATAAAATAGTGCAGAAGACATTAAATCCAAATTATTGGCCCATGGAATTTCTATAAATAATATTTCATTTAATGAGAGAATGCATATTTTGTTGAGAAAATATAACTTGATCTGTCTCTCACTGCGTACAAACTACGTCACGTTGTAAGAAATGACGTCATATTGTCAAGTGTATTGCGATCTGTGACTTGTTTATAACTTGTTATGTGGGATTTAACTAACGACAAAACAACACGCTCTAGTAAGTTTTTATGTAGTTTGATGATTTCTTACTGGTTTAATTAACAGATAAATTCATTTTGTGGTATTTTAAAGGAATGTTGTATGACGTATATTGTGTATGATGTCATAGTCAAGTTTTCCCGTACAAATTAGACTCCACCTCCTTTTTGTAACCTTAACTGTGCTGCGTAGCAAAGATGAAACGTGACCTTGTTTTGGACACGCTGACGTTATCATCCGTGCACCGTAGGATGATACAATACATAATATAAAATATCATAATTTGTTTATTTATGTTTGTTTATGCATATATTTATTTGACATTTGCTCTGTATATTCATAGCATATGTACCATAGAGTAGATAAAATTTCAGAATGCATTAATGATTATTTTTCAAACTAGACAACTTGTCCACGATTTTACCCGACAACCCTCGTATATCCACAGAGGGGTTTCAACACAGATATGAAGGATATGGAAATAAAGAACAGTATTCAACATCAAAGTCAATAAAGCAATACAAAATAGGATCAAAACAAAAACGGAACTCTAAAACATCAGAGGTGGGATCAGAGTTGTGTCATGGAGGAGTGTGTATCCGCTGCAGCCCGGTCACACCCGCCGTTTGCTCCAGGGCATCTGATCCCACCTCTGATGTTTGGAGTTTGTATTTGCTCGGCTTCTGTTTTGTATTGATTTATTGACTTTTAATATTGAATACTGCTCTTTTTCTCCATATGTTTCATTGAAATTGAAATGATTTCGGTATAAGAAAACACAAGTTAAAACGGAGGATTTGATCCAAAAAATAGGATCAAAACAAGACAGCAAACGAAGACACCTATAAGCTGGTATCTGAGGGTGTGTTTTTTTATATAAAAAAATACCAATTTCATTTATTTGTCAATGACTTTCACTAGGCTTCAGGGAATGTAGTTCAGTGAAACCTGTATAATCTAACATGTACTGGGATACGAATTTTGTGTTGGAATAGACAGAGTTGCGGATTGCACAGTGTATAAAACATGGAAAATTGTAAAATAGGAAAGACATTTAACGTCAGGATTCACAGTATGATAGGTTTGACAGGTGTGGGATTATACAGTTGTCATTATCAATTGGTTCTTACGTCGTTCAAGGTTTTAATTCACCAAGGCGTTTCTGATTCTGTCGTTGATAATGTACAGGTCTGTCCAACTCTCAATTGTCCGTAGACTCATACATAATTGTCAATGCACGTGAACAAAACTCTACGTGCATTATTTAGAGAATATAACCGTTTACCAGTATTATATATATATAAAAAAAACATTTAGGAGACAATAACAAGGCAATATGATATTATCTAATGATTTTTTTAGTTCTTTATCCTTTTTTTACTCATATCTTTCTTAAAATTAAAATATAAATTACAACATCAATATTTTCTATTCCTTTATTTACCTATCGTACAATATACATCCGGATTTAAAACATTGAGCCAGGATTTGTTTCTTTTCATTATTTTCCCGTATATACGTCTTTTACATATTTACATAAATCACACTGGGCATCAAAAACAGTTTTTCGAAAAGATTGGGGAATGAATTTGTCCTTCTCCTTTAAGTAGCTTATGTATTCCGTTTCATTAGAACCTATTCTGATCAATTCTTTGGCTAAAAGTCTGATAGTAGGAAAATCCTGACTGTTAATGTAGGTTCCTTTAGGAAGATATTGACCGGCGTCCTTTGGTCCATTTATAACAGGTATAACGTGAGTACGGTTTAAATAAAGTGAAAACAGTTTTTCTGTTGTATAACCTTTGCAAAGTGAATTCTCAAAAGAAAAAAAGAATTTGTAGTCTCTTTCGAATATGTCCTGGCACCCCTTCAAATTATCATATTGCTTGCCACATTTTTTAGTTCCACAGCTGCCAAATTTATCCACTTTTAAGTGTCTACTTAGCTCTTGAACCAATTTTTTTCTTCTCGAAGGAGTTGAACAGTGGCTTGAAACCCATACCGCGTCTTTGGTTTTCTTGCTGAGTATTCCAGTGTAGTTTTTGAGGACGGGTTCTTGCATTTTTTGCAATTTACCGTAGAATGGCAAATAAATATCCGAGTCGTCCATATAAGACATAAATAAATCAAAATGTTTCATCCATTCCTTGTTTGGTCTCCACGTGTGGTACGGACTTTCTGCCGTATTAAACACCCAAATTTGCTCTTTTTCTTTCTGGATCACTTTTTTAGGAAGACGTCTGTGACTGAATACAACTATATCAGCCTTGGAAACATTTGTTTCTAAAACACAGCCCGGTATAGAGCATTGAGTACCATCGTAATACCGTAGCTGTTGTACAAAGCGTTCCTCTGCGTGGAACCAATGTGTGCGATATATCCTTGGAAGTGTGTCACTGGACACTTTATTGGTCATATTTGTATAGTTGAGGGACGTATCTAATGTAGAGAAGTACATCCATAGAGGACGTGCTGTCTTTGGAATCAGACACAAGATTATAACAAAAGATGTTATTGTTATAAAACAAAGTGATTTAAAAACACCATGTCTTTTGAACATCTTTCTGTGTACTGAAAAAAAAATGAAAGAAATGATTATTACGAAAAGATAACGGAAATGCAAAAAATCAAATAAGTTATGTTCAAAAAAATATTCATATAAAATATGCAATAAAACTATCATATTATACCTTCTTATAATTATGCTATACAATAATCATTTTCATGCAATGTCAAAGGTCATATTTATTGTGTGGTTGCGTTTAATTACATGTAAATGTCCTTCTCCTGCTATGATAGCTCAAAAGATTTGAAATTTAATACGAGGGTTGATCCAAAAGTAATGTCACATCTTCGATAAAATCGCTATCCGTCGACGTAAAACAACAAAATTATACATGATGAAAGCTACATTTATTTCAAATCAGACCTGAAAATTTCAATTCAACACGATTTATACTTTTTAAAATATCGGATTATATATAACGTGCGATTTGGGTCGTCGCCGCAGCTAAATAACGTCATATGACGGATACGCGCCGTCATACATTTAAAGCTTGCCTTCGTTTCATTAAAAAATATTTGAGAGTTGATATCAACGAACACGTTCACAAATTTCACTTTCTTACCCTTAGTACCCATCGTACACTCACACTTTTCATAATTAATTCTTTCAAAATTTATTGAACAGTAGTAAATGACCAACTTAAAATTTCACATGTCGCTCTATCCGTCTGTCTTTCTGACAACGTCACGCACCATTGAACATTTCCGTCCGCCCTCCCATCTTTCGATTTTCTTGTCATCTGCTGAGCATTTAATGACCCCTCACACACAGAAAATCGCTGAAACCATCTAAACAAGTCTCTTATTTACATTCTTTCCTCCGAAAGTCTGGTGAATCAACGTAACTGCCTCTACTGGCGATTTCTCCATTTTGAAGCAAAAATGCATTACAGTTTGTTTTGGCTTTTTTGTCCATTTTGACATTTCCTTTTTTCAATGCACCCGAATAAATCAACGATGTTTTTTCATAAAAATAGCAGTGATGTCATATAATTTTCAATTTACGACTAGAAAATGATGCAAAGTTTTGTCTTTTAAAGCATTTTGCGTTTAGGCGCTTTTAAAAGATGCTTTTTAAGAGTTTGTCTTTTTTATACTAAAAAAAGTACACTTTAAATTGTGACGTTCGGTTTTGACGCGGCGACACCCCCTATCTTATATGTTTTAAAAATCTATAAAATAAATTCAGTTAAACATTATTGAATGAAAAATTAAAGTTTAATTGAATTTATATTTGTGCATCTTTTGGTATATAATATTTGATAATATGACGCCAAATATAAAAGATATGGACACTGTGACATTACTTTTGGATCAACCCTCGTACATATATAATCATGTACAAAAATAAAAAAGAAAATTTGACATATATTTTTACGATTCATTGCATTAGAAAGCAAAAATGAGCGTTCATCGAAAAAAGAAGGCGTTTAATGTTTCTCCCTTTTTATATATAATGAAAATAATTAAATATATATGTTTATGCATTGTGAATATTGAACGAGTGTCTGCATGGTGTATGACGATCATTAAAACTCACAGTTCTAAATACTGAGCCTCTGAAACAACCTTTTTATATTAATACTTATCTAAGTATCCTATTTCTTTATCGCCCCTCCCCCTTCAATAAATAGTTTTTATGTCTTTTAATTTTTTAAATTAAAAAACTCTTTTTAGGATAAAAGTATGGGAGATACTTTTAGAGATTGCCCATCACTTTAAATTGTGTATTGTATTGGTTTATGGGCTTTTGATCCTGCAAACTTTTCTTTATCTCCGTATGTTTATAAATGTCAGCATTTCTGTTTGTCTTTGCATTTAGTATGCCTAAATTTGCATCATACGAGCTATGCTTGCATAGATCAAGACTTTCTGCTGACGCAATATACCTTAAATTAAAAGGTTTTTTAAAGGGATTAACCCTTTAAAAGTGTTTTTAATGCAGCGACTTTGTAACCATACACATACTGTCTATAAACAACTGTGATCTGAAATCAATCAACAAACACATGTTTGTCTTAAAAATAACTTTGATCTTATATCACTCATCATACAAATGTACTGTCTAAGAAACAACTTTGATCTTAGATCACTCATCATACACGTGTATTGTCTTAGAAACAATTTTGATCTTAGATCACTCAAACTACACAAGTACTGTCTTAGAAACAACTTTGGTCTTAGATCACTCAAAACACAGATGTTCTGTCTTAGAAACAACTTTAAAATTAAAATACACATGTACTGTCTTAGAAACAATTTTGATCTTAGATCACTAAAATACAAATGTACTGTCTAAGAAACAAATCTTAGATCACTCAACCTTAAATCACTAGCAGCAACTTGACAAACACTACATATATACCTACCATTTGCAAGAATATTGACCAAGCAATACATATTTCTTCAAAGTGCGTTAATATGGTCGATATTAAAGCACTTTAAGGAGGAAAAGGACCTTTAGCTGAAAAACATTCTGTCAATGAATTTTTTTCGTATTTTTTATATTATTAATTCAATATGAACTTAACATTTTAAAACGGTACTGTCATGGGATTTCTTGACTTATTGAAAAGATATCGCCCCACAAATACCACCCTGTGTAGAGTTTGTATGGAGTTTAGATACTTTATGTTTACGGGCCCATAACGGAGTCCATCATGCGAATTTTTACGCACAAACGAAAAATATTATGCATAATACTAAATACTCAAACATATCAGAATATTCATACGGTTAAAATTATCTGAAATAATTGTTTTAATTTTATATACTATTTGGGTGGGATAATTTCTGCATTTTTCAAGGCAGCTTCAACGACAAAAACCTCATTGGGAAAAATATTCTGTCAATAAATATTTCTAAATTTACGATTGAATGCCAGTCCTTCATCGTAATTATTTACTGCATAAATATCACAGGGTGAAGCTTAACTCAATATCGCACAGGACATCGTTGAATTAGACGTAAGCATGATAAAAACGCTTCACGTTTGTATTTTCCGAGTGCGGGAAATCAATTGTGACGTCACACGAAAACATAAACATTCAAAATTATCTAAAAAGAGAGAATCTCTGCTACTAAACGCGAAAAAAATATTAATTTAAAAATATCTGCTTCAGAAATTTATCACGAAACATTGACTGTGACCTGTTAATTATGAAATAAAAGATTATGACGGATGCGTGTACTTGATCACGCTGCACTGAAAACTCAAACACTACGTCTATGACGTCACTGACGTCAAACTGCAGGGTAAAGAGAAACAAATGTGTGGATTGGGCAACTTCATAATATCTAAATGATGGCAAGATTTTTAAAAAGTTTATGAATAATTATTTCTAAAATGAAATGTTTAAAAAACAATTTTCGAATTTAGAATAATATTACACAAGAACTGTTGATTTTAACAACGTTTAACATGTATATCATCACCAGTTATGACGTAATATGTCTTTTTAGTCATGTGACATGTTCCCTGTCTCCCCTTAAAAAGAATTTTTATTTTTTCAAAGTGCGTTGATTTGGTTTAAAATTTTAAGGCACTTTGAAATTTTTTTTTTCAATGTGCGTAATATTTCAAAAGTGCGTTGTAATAATGCATTAATGAGAAGTTTTATACTTTCCTGATACTTTTTTTTTAATTTAATAACTCTAATTCGCCCTTTTACAGTATATCAACAGCCCTAGATTTAGACATTTTAAAGAAAATTAGGAGATGGAGGCAGGGGCCATGATTTAAAAAATCTCCCCTTAACCCATAGATGCTATATGCCAAAATTGGTTTTAAAAGTTTGAGGGATTGCAGAAAAAAGCTGAAAATGTTCCAATGTTAACGCACAATTCATAGCTCACGATGCCAGAAAAAACAGATAGCAATAAATCAAATGAGTTAATTCAGGTGACCAAACCCTTTAGTCCTGTGAACTCCATATTTATGTAAAACATTAGGTGTCTTCTGGTCTCCCTGTTGACTTACAATATAAGATGACCTTTGATCTTTTTATTGATGTAAAATATAAAGTGTCTCCCGGTTTCTCTATTGTCGTTCAAAATAGTGTGATCATTAGTGTTAATGATGTGCAGTATAAGGTGACCTCTTGTTCCCCTACTGATGCACAATACGAGGGATGTTCAATAAATAATGTCCTGAACTCTATGACATACAATACAGAATGATATTATATGGCATTAAGCTTGACTTTCTCTCATTATTGAATCTTAATGAATTTATAATAGTTTATCTGATCACTTTTCATCACATAGTTTCATTGTGAGAAGCTGGAAAACAAGGGTATTCGAGACACTGCATTAAAAATGAAGGGTAAAGAATCAGTAAACTAGAGTGAAATTAAACCGTTCATTAACGCTGCTGTAAAACTTGTTAAGAATCCTAAAGAAATACTCACTTAAATATGTAGAATTTACAGCAATTAATGTCTGTTTTATAGACAATTGAGCTGGTGGATTTCAATGAAAAAAAAAATATAATGGGCATCAAAAATGGATACCGTCCTTGCAAAAAAGAAAAACAACAACTAATGTACTGTTTACCAAATTTCAACAAATAATCACTGATGGTGTATGATTGACTATACGACACATAGCAAATTTGATAGACATCATTTCGGGAGTAGTTCATACTGTTTTAAAGAAACGTTTGACAGTAAAAAAAAAAGCTTAGTACTAAAATTCACCCTATGCTTTAAAAATGAGTAAAAACGACTCGTGTAAGAATATCTAAACAGTTATAAAAGATATCAGAAATTGTAGTTATCCACGTTTGTTTGAATTTCAAACAGATAATGAAACTTAAATTTATTGATAAACACCTTTAAAACAAAATTTACAATAAAATGTACTTTACAAAAACAGCAAAGGTCTGTGAGAACAAAGAATTGCAAGCGCACAGACAGATTTATATGTAATTTTCTTAAATATTAGTGGTCCTGTTGTTCAAATTCGTATTCGGGGGGGGGGGGGGCAGTTTAATT